TAACCTAACAAATTCCTTGTCATTATAGATGTCTTCACATGAATCATCGAAAACTAGAAGAACATTTTCTAATTTTCTCACAGATTCGAATCCGTCGAATTTCATGAACTCCATATTCACTTCGCGAGAAGACACTTTTTCTGAGAATGCAGGTTGCATCTCTTTGTAAAGATATAGAACGGTTCCAAATTTAGGGTAAAAAGTATTTCCCATCAGAAGTTTCAAAATTAACTCAGTTTTCCCGGATCCTGAAGGTCCCACTATCGCCATAAAAATTCTTGTCGAAGTATCAATCACTTTATTCATATTCTTGGGTTTGGTAGTACGTAACCAACCAAGCCTGATAAAATCGAGAACCAAACTGACGTTTCTTCGCAACTTAATTTAGTGAAAGAAAGTTTGAGAATGCAGAAAGTTAGTAAAATTAGAATTACTACCATTTGCGCAACAAAAACTACTTCAGACCTTGGCAAAGTTACATTGTTACAAAACTTCCATGATTTTTTTTCACTGTTTGTCTCGTTATAAACAAACTCTGTTACTAATGTTGCGTCAGGTTCATCTACTGCTGTTGTTGCTTCTGACATTTGAGAAACTATTTATTCTACAGACTGCGTTAGACTTTTTCTCTCTGCGAATGAAGCTTGTAAAAAATTAAATTACTTTTGAGAACAGTAAAAAATTTCATAACGTGTGAAATCTCTATCATTTATGTCATGCATTTCTAAAACAAAGTTTGCTGGGATATTTGCGGTTTTTTTGTAGTACATTATTTTCTTCACAGTATCCTCTTTCACAATCGTCTTAATCTCATCTGGCAATTCACTGCTGTTTAGATCCATCTGAACTCCTGGCTGACGTTTGGGTACTAAGACTAGTTCGGGAAGACATACTCCTCGCTTGCTGGCTAACATTTCTGATAAACTTGAATCTCTGGAAGTATACAAATTGATCAATAACTGGAAAAAACCTCTTCAACGTAGACAACTCTTCTTCGGAAATTATTATTTGCTCCTTCCTCTGAACAATTTGGCCACTGCAATCAATACGCTCTATTCTCGTTAATGAAATTTTAATATCACCCTCTGGAGTCATCCACGCACAAAGCATTGAATTTTGTGATAGGTATGTCTCCACTTTCGCTGATCTCTCGCTGATGTTCATTTTTCAACCAATCATAAAAAACCTTGGTTTTCTTCAAGGCACAATGATTCCTGGAGTTGTAATGTGGAATATGTTTATTGCAACTTGGATAATTTTTAAAATATAAGTTTTCAACCCGAGGACAGCCCAAATCATCTAGGTTTTCAATCTTTCGGTCCAAGTACTTGGCCAAAAATTCTGTCTTTTCTTTTCCTTTAGCGTAAAAAACGGCACCAGGATTTCTCAGCACAAAACTCTGAAGTATTTGATTCAAGTTTATATAAAGATAATCACCGTTTTCCCAATGGAGACCGTGTAAATAATTAGTTAACCAGTTGTAAGCTTTTTGTTCAAGCTTTGGTAGTATATTGAAATTCACTGGAGGTAGGAAAATGAGTCGATCGCTGTAGTCTGAAGTTGTTATTGCTAATTCTTTAACCACAAAGGCGTTTTTCTTGTAACGAAAGCCTTCCACGTCAAGCACAACTGATCTCTCGCCTAGCATTCTAGTAAATGATAAACTTCTGGTTTTTTCAACTTAATGAAAAGGCAGAACGCTATTCCACTCAAATGTCCCAATAAGCTGTTGTTACAGTTCCAGGGCAACATGTAACAGTACGTGGGACCCTGTTGATAAAATTCGTGTATAAATCCGGCCGCATCGTGCAAAATAGCGTGCAATCGTAAAATTTTGGAATTTTTCAAATATTTGTCCAAGGAAGAGTTATCAATACCAATCAAGCCACCATAAGGTCTCAACTTAATTAAAATGTCGTAGTTAAGGTTATCAGAACTAACAAAAAACAGAGAACATGCAGCTAGAAAATAGTTGCGTCGGTTAGAATTATCAGGATAAGTTTGTTTCAAAGACGTATAAATTTCGTGAATTATTTTCAAATCAATAGGAGTTACTCTGCTTTTTTGCAATTTCATTATTTATTTTTTCCAACACCTCTCCAACCTGCTGAATTTCAAGCCAGTGGAAATAAAAGTGACCTTGCAAATACCATTTAGACTCATTAAGATAACGGTGGTAAATAATTAAATAAACCACCGGAAGTTTTTTGTATTTTGATAGCTTGTTGAAACATAGACGGATTTTTCTCTCCAAGTCTTTATCAACCCATAATGAGTTAAAGTCAAACGAATAGTCGAAAACGTTTTCATAATCAGCAATATTCAAATCGCTCACAGTGCCATACTTTTGTTTTGTAGAAATGCACCAAGAGATTTGTTGAAGCTCACTCAAATAAAATTGTTCTTTGAAAATCAACTCGTATTCTTTCTTTGAAATTTCCTTTGCCCTTTCGAGGAAGACGACGTAGCGTTCATTACATAATTTGAAAAATGAGTTTTTTTCTGCGGTTGAAAACACTCTTAATTGTAAATGTTCATTATCAATATCTTCAGTACACCAAGTTCCCTCTAATTTCATTTTTCTTATTTCAAAATTTGACAATTTTATCATTTGGTATATTTTGCCCAGAAACGGCCGCCGCCTTTTGAGAGTAATTTCAATTTACTGCCTTTTCACCATAAAATTTAGGTCAAGTTAAGGAATTAGTTTACTGCTGCCAACAGTTAAGCTACGCTGCCAAAATGGCCGGCGAATTTTTATTATATACCATAAAAGTCAATTCCCCGTTCACTAACAAATTTCAACTAGGTCGAAAGTTCATTTACCCTAAACAAGCATAACAATTAATATGATTCATATAATTAATCAGGACCAATAATTAGGACCCCAAAATTTGGAATTAGAAAGATTTTTGTATCGTGTCCCTTGTTGTTAAGCTAAACTTAGCAAGATCCTAAGTAGGGGGTCTTCTGCTTTTTGGGTGGAAAATCTCTTTCGTTTACAAAATCCTAGGATGAGGGTCCTCCAAAAAATTAAGGACCCCTTTCCTAGGATTTTGCTTTACGTGAGGACCCCCCCCCCCTTAGGAAGGACCCCCCCCTTAGGATCCGGGACACGATACAATACTACTGCAGTAATAACATTAAAAAAATTGATGAAATAAAACATAATGAAATTTTTTTTCTAAAATTTGAAATTTTTTAAATAAAAACCATCTACCCACACGCCACTTAAAGTATAAAAGGATAAATTTCGCTTCTTGTAACAAATGAATTATGGCAAATAAGCTTCTTTCAACCAATTTGGAACGATTTCTACGACGGATTAACTCTCCGCTTACGCGTTAATAGTGCGAAATATATCGCGCGTTAATTGTTCCAAATTGGCCAAAATGGAAAACTTTAAACCCCCGTAACTTTACGAAAAATGATCACAGGTGAAATATCTTTTCAAATTTGAGCTCAGGACAACATTACCTTTCGAATGATATAAAAAATTCCGTCAAAAATGGCTAGTTAATAAGTCGAAATTTGTCTGAAGAAAAAAACCCACCCGAGCACAAATATTCCGTTACTTTCGAATCGAAAGTCGGAACAACAAGGATAGCCGGTTGCTGTCCAATTACAGCAAAATGTTCCGACCCTATTAAAAAACTACAAACAAAAAACTACAAAATTTCAAATATGTGTCATTTTTTGTACGTGGTGAGGTGAGAAAATTACACACACGCGTACAAACTTAGTATATTAGGCATAATCGACAACAGAAACGAACATGCAAAAAGAATCGAATATGGCAAATTTTGAGCCCCTTATAATTGCTAATAAAAAGTTACGAAAAAGACTATGTCTCACCTGACTACCTTCACATACCGTATATCGAAGCACTCAAAAAACGCATCGATTTTTGATGTTTTACACTGTTGATTTTTGATTTCCAAGAGTCTTGCTTAAATTATGGTTGCGACTATTAAAGTAATATTTGTTAACGGTGTTGTTTTTCGTCAAACAATTTTAACGGATATATCACAACCCTGTTAGTGTAACACATTTTTTTGTTATATGCTTTCCAATTCATACGATATTCAATCCAAATTCACCATTTTGTGGCAGCACTACACTAAATCAACGCACAACGCAGGGTTACAATTCCGCTCCGCTTGTTTATGTAATGATTGAGTATAACTTGTTAGATAAGATTTTTTAAGTCATTTTTGTCCAAAAAATTTGCGAAGCTTGCGGGAAAATTTACAATGAACCAACTTCAAAATCAAAGAGTGGTACAACTGATTATATAATAATAAATAAGCAACGGTCATTTTTGAAGCAAATAGTTTCTAGTTTGTAAGGGTTAAATTTGCAACGCTTAATCTTACTCCCAAAGTTTCGAAGGTTTAAAAACAATTCCTAATGAGGAATGTGGCGTTGCGGCTTTCAGGTAGTGATGGTGCCCAGCAATCATATGATTGCTGGTTCGAATCGCACGTGCGCTGCAATTTGCAAGGTGAGGTCAGGCAAGTAAGTCATAGCTTAATGGGGGCTGACTATCGCGCTCTTGTCAACTTAATAATTAACCTCCTGATTAGGCCTCCGCCGGGCTGGTTGACCAAAAAACAGTAAACAATTCTAATCTCAAGAAACGTGGATTTTAGAATTGGGCAATTTTTTTTGAAAAAAAAAACAATATTTTTGTTTGATTTTTAAAAAGCGAATGCCTTGAAACTATACAATGCAGTTTCATAGAAATTATAATAAATGTATTTATAGATGCAGCTATAAACTATAAATGCATTTATAGAAACTATAAACGTGCAGTTTCGTTTATATAGTCGATTGTTTATAATTGTAAACTTTACTAGACATGATTTACTAACCAAGAGGTTATAATTTATTAAACAAGAGCTAATATGAAAATAACATGTTCTGCAGAAAAAAATAGCCGGAACAAACAGTGCTTCAATTTGATACCAGCAGTCCCTGAATTATGATTAAATTCCTACCTGACGTGCTCTATAGCTGCCTGTGGGTGTGTCTCTATATTGAGTAAGTCAGGATGCTGCACTCTGATTCTGATGCCCATCAGTTGGTCTCTCAGTTTAGAGATGATCTTCTCAAGGTCATCACTGAACTTGCGGATGTTTTCGTCTTTTTTCGCCTCACAGTACAGAATGGTCGACTGAAATTCGAAAAAGTTTACTATCCTACCAAACAAAACACATTTTGGATCAAAAAATTCAAAGAGATTTCAAAAGCAAAAAAGATTTAAAAGTAAAATAGCAACTTTTTTTTAATGAAAGGTAACCAACGGCTTATCAGTACTTTCTTCTGATCATCTTATTACTGAGATGGCTTTTAGATTAAATTTTTTGAAAATGTTTCCAAAAAAGACATCTGAAACCTAAAATATCATCATTGTTTTTGCTACTCAACTAGGTAGATTTTTACTATAGCTGAAATATCAACTGCGAAAAAATGCAGCTAAGCTAAAATTGTTCCGTCTCTCGGAAGAAAAACAGGAACAGCTTAAAACTCTCCTTGTTTTTCGTCGTACCTTCAAACTCTGGAAGCTGGGTCCCAAAGTCTGGAACAGAGCCTGATGTTCCGCATGTACAGGCACATCGAAATCCTTAATGAGAGTGAACAATCTGGTCACTATTCCGAACTCCTTCTCTAGAGCTGACATGTCAGACTGGATCTTCTGCAGGAAAGTTAGATGGTCCACGAATTCTTCCACGCTTTCTGGATAGTGGTCCAGTTTGTTGTTGGAGTTCTGGAGAGCAAAAAACATTTTGATTAAGGAGAATTGTGGTTTTAATTACGTTATTAGAATTTAGTCTCTTAAATTACCCCTCCAGAACAATTTACACATAAAACTAATATGGGGTCAAAGGTAAACTGACACTGAAGAGCAGTGAAATCAAATAAGACCTCAAACAACTCTCAACATAAATTTAAACTATTAAAACTAACAAAAAACGTTAGATTTGAGCAGTTTATAAAAATTAGAAAATGCGAGTTCTCCATTTTTCATACTTTTTTTTTAGTCCCAGGCTTATTTTACAAAGCGAGTTTTCTTACACACTTGGTTAATTACATAAGGCAAACGGATAAAAAATAACTCTATACCCTGACGATGCTCAGCAAGTCTTCGTCTCTTTGATTGGCCATTTTGGGTAGTTTCTGATACACTGAATTCAGCACTTTCATTGGATAAGGCAGACACACGTTCCTAAAAGATATTTTTTGTTTCAATTAAGACGTATCTATTGCTAACTTATTTCCTGAAAGATCTACTGGAAAACTATTTTTTATGATGCTGCTAGACGTCTTCATCTTCGAAAGTCGACCCCATACAAGTCACTCAATTGTCACTGATTAACTACAAAAAATTTATAAGGACGCCTTAGCGTAAATAAATACTATAATCGAGAAAATATATATTTTAAAAAACTGGGAAGATGAAAACGCACTGAAATTTATAAAGGTTTCTGAGGGTGGAGCTTTTGATACATATCCTTTTAAAATGTTTTGCCCGCGGAACTAGATCCGCCTCTGTGTTCTGTTTCGGTTTTTAAATATCTGTTTGAGAAGTTTTACTTGAAGTGTTCTGTGTCCACTTTGAGCATGCCCACTAGTTTCAACAGAGGCATCCCCTCCATCAACTTCCTCTGCTCAGTGTGGGTGGATAAGACATGGAAGAAGTCTTCAGGGAACCACTCCTTCTGCTTCATAGAGTAGTCCACATCCACTCGTCTGGATTTGTTCACCATGTCACAGAAAGTGTCGAATTGCTTTTAGAAACAACAAAAAATGTTAGATAAAATACTCTGAGAACACAATTTAAAAACCATTAGAAATGAACAACAATGATAGCGGAGTATTAGGAAACACAATTGTCAAAAATGAAAAAGAAGCCCTTAAATTTTTAAAAAACATTTAAAAAAACTTTGAGAAAAAAGTGGTTTCAAAAACATTTTGAGTAGCAGGAGTCCAATGTTTAATTTCAGATAAAGCCAGTCCAGAGAGTCCACCACAAAATTAAAAAGAACGAGGACAACAATAATTTAAAGCTTATTTTGTAAAAAAAAAATTACGAAATTAAATTCAGTTAACATTCATTCTGTTCCATAGAACCCAACACATAAATATAATTTATACATGCGAAATGATACCAACCAAAGCATATTCGTCAATTTCCTCGAAAAGATCGTTGAACAGCGTGATCAACTTGTCAATATTGCCCTGATACCAGTTGTCTAGTCCGAACACTAGATCCAAATCAGGCCACTGTCGCATATTCATCATAGCTAGGTCATCGTCGTCAAGGAACATCATAGGCGAAGGAGAGGGCGAGGGGGATCTGACACTTGCGACAAGCGACGAAGATGAGTTACCTACACAATATGATTTTAGAATTTCAACAGAGCAGTTTCTTTTGTGCAAAGTGTTTGGTTGAATTTTATTTACACGCGAAAAGTCACAAATTGATGGCCGAAAAAAACTTGAATTTGAAAAATAAAAAATCATATTTCCAGAAACATTTTTTTCTAATCCTCTTATCAATGCTAGTTAATATCGATACCCATTTGAAAGCTCATAATTAAAGTTGGTCACAATGATTTTGAGATGAACAAATTATCGATAAAGTTTGAATACAAATCTAGCTGAAACAGCTAATTAAAAAATCCTTAACAACTGCACACACTATCCATCTTTTAAGTTCACTTGGCGGGGTTCCAAAGATTGTAACGTGTGCAACCAACTTTGACCCGGCAAAAAGAGTGCATGAACGATGTAAGCGCCATGTTGCCGCAATTGAAAACTAGAGAAAGTTTCATTCAGGCTCAAAGAGCGTCTTAAAGCGAGCGACAAGAACAATCGACGCGTTCTACTCGTATGCAATTTCAAATGAGAAGCAACCAAAACTTTGTTAATAAACTGGAAATTCCGAAAACTAGCAATAAAAGCAACTTTTTTAAGTAAAACTATTTTATGCACAAGCAAGTTAATTATAAAAACATTTTTTTTAAATTGCCCAAAAACATTGTTTTAGCAGCTTGCAAAAAGTACGGATTGACTTGACCACAGTTGATCGGGAAATGTTAGGGGAAAAATCGAGAAAATAGAAATGACAATGAATAAGAACAGCCCCGGTCTATGGTTGCCCTTTCTGTGAAAGGTTTTTAGAAACCATCAGCATGACTTATTCAACTTTGCTGTTCTACCCCTTGCAGTTCAGTCAACAAATCATCTGACCCGACCGAGACTATCATAGTCCACCGTATATCCCTCGACTCATCTCCCTGGACTCATAGATTGTCAAATTTGACCTACTTCAATCCCAGAGCTCAGTCTCTTACTAAGCTCAAGTTCCAGTTCTTCATGACTGAGACTAAAAAAGCCACTGGCTTAAATAATTTGGTTTTTAAGGAGTCGTACGTACGCATGACTATCTATGATTCTGGGTAGCCTACTGCTGCAAAATGCACATAACGAAACAAGATGTACGAGACTAAGCGCAACAGCGATCGCTGGAATACGCGAAGCCAAATGGAATGCAATATTATTGTGCAATGTCTGTGCTGATCCAAACAAACTCATTGCTAAACCAGCGCCGAAAAAACAACTAGCAGATCTAAATGCAAAACGTCAAAAAAAATGAATAAACTCTACAAATTTCAAGTTTGCTATGAACAAAATTTTCGGCGAACCATAAACCATCATCCCCAAAACACAGAAGATCCAACCACTACGCATTGATCGCAAAAAAAAACTTGAAACACCGAAAACTATTTTCGAGGGAATATGAACTCGCAACAATTGCAAACGGTACGGACAAAAACAATATTACAGAAAAAGCTATCATGAGCTTACCTTCGAACTCCAGCAAACAATCCCAATATCCTTTTATTCAATGTACGAAACATCGTGGACTTTGATAGAAGAGCTGATCTCTCAAACACTTTATAAACGTTACCAATAAGTTTGATTTACTTTGCTTAAGAAAAAAAAGCTCACCACTCACCAAATGTTAGGATAATGCAGCACTCCTCCTGCCAAAATTTGAAATACGTAGAGCTGATCGAACATTTGAAAAAGGCAGAAGTTAACATGGTGAGTGTTAATAGGTGTAAGAAAGAAGAAACTCCAGCAAAAACTCACGTTTAACAGACAAACTGCTTAAAACTGCCCAGCTGAATTACAAAGCGCAGCTGAGCTACAAAGAATCTGATAAACTGAAATTGATTGCGAAGCAATTCTCTTAGTGAATTTTTCTTAAAATATTCTTTATTATTGTTATGATGGTTAATATTATGATATTAAGATTATTATAATTAGTTTCAATTCGATTTTTATCATGATTAGTTTTGGAGCGATTATTATTCTTTTTATAGGTAGTAATATGATCAATATAATTATGATTATGTGAATGATGACTACAATGACAATTATGATTTTTGATATTACGACCATTATTATGATTAATTTTCCGACGATTTGAAAAACGCGAGGGAACTTTGTATTCGGGTGTATTCTTGTTTTTTTTTTCCTTTTTTTCCACGCAAAATCAGGTACCAGAAATAAACATCAGAATATTGGGACGAGTGATATATCATATTGAAGCCCTTTCAATCGTGATTTGAAAATTTCAGAAAACGTTTTCTCAGTGTCGAGAAAAACCGGTTTGAAACTTTTAATTTTTGGTCCAAATTCGAGCGAGTAAAGAGCAAAAAAACTACACACTACGCAAAAAAACTAGACTAACTTGAAACAACAATTACCACGCAGAAAAAAAAACAACATTAATTTGAAAAAAGTTGTCCCAGTGTAATTTGAAAAACAAAAATCGTAGATTCAGAAAAAATACTTGCACAGTGACCGGATATCCTTGTTTTTTCTTGTTTTTCAAGTAAAATCAGCTACAACAAATAATAATCAGAGAGTTGAGTAGAAAAAATTAGTTTTTCTCGACTTAAGTTAGTTTTTTGTATTATACTCCTTTCTGGAAACAAAAACGGCAAAAATTCAAAAAACTGCACATAAATTTTGAATTTTTTCAAAATTTTTTGTTTGTTTTTCTTGTCAATTTTCTAAAAAAAACTGCTCTCCAATTGGCCTAATTTACTATGCTTGTAGAATATGCTAAAGTTACATTTTTTTCTCAGATCTTTTTATCACCACATATTTTTATCATAGTTTTTTTTAACTATCTGTAATTTGATAAAACTATGTATCACTTTGAAAAACGTTTTTTTTTTAAATTATCTGAAAGGCATTGCCGTCCTGCACTCAAGTTGAAAAAAAAATCCAAAATCTTATAGGTTTTTGAATATGGTCAATTTGGCTAATTTGTGACCATTATTGCGCTATAAATTTTGTCCTATTTAAGCATCAGCGGCTATTGAATCTGGTTCATAAATCGCTCCAAAATGACTTGAGGCAAGCGAATTGAACATTTTACGAGTGTGCTGGATGCCACCTTTTTATGTTGTATTTTTAACTTCGTGTGTGGCGGGAAGATATTCAGAATTGAGACAAAACTTAAAATAGCGGACAAATTAACTTCACCGTTCTGCCTGAGCTAGCTGATCAACGTTTAGGCTGAAAGCCGGGCTAACTTCTCAATACGTATGAACAGGTGAGTTTTTCAGAGCAATTTCGATGCTCGCAAAAAAATTTTCAGGCTAGCTTCGGAAAACATGACCAAAAATAAACAAATATCACTCTTAAGTTCGTTGACAACAAGATCTTTTGAAACCATGATATTTCACCAAATTAAACAAACTAGAAAAATTGGATCAAAACGTATTTGTTCACCTCTTAATGAAGCTTAAACACTTAAAGTAAAAGTCAAGGATCTCCTACATAAGTTGATTTCTCAGCAAAAATACAACACAGAAAAAAAACGATATCTAACAAAATCTAAGCCAACATTATGAGAGCGTTTGCATGAAATGATTTTTAAATAGAGCTATTTTGTGAAAGGCAATTACGGAAAATTGCAACATGCATTAACTTTAGAGTGCGGTCAAAAATTAGACAACCTTCGTTTTACACTGGTCAAAAAGAACACAAATAAATATATATCAAATCAGAAAGGAGGTGAAGTCGCAATTGTACCATCGTTCATTTGTACCAAACCAAAAAAAATCAATCCCATTAGTCCCAAAGTTATTCAACTCAGTTTCTGATTGTTAGAATTTTGAGCCAACGATTTATTAAACGAAATGTCGATTGTTCAAACAGCATAAAACTAAACAGCAGAATAGCGACCGCCGCATTCGAGCCAACATGTTGCGAGCTTGCCAATAGAGAGTAGGACTTTATACAAAATTTAGAGCCAGTTATTGACGCAAAGCGGCGACAAGCGCGTAGCGCCCACCGACGACCTTAAGCCGAGAGTTTAAAAATTGTTTTAAAAACCAAGAGTTTCAAAAGTTTTTTGGTACAAATGCGATTGATTTTTTTTTGGTTCCAAATAATGAGACTGATGTTTCATTTTGGTACAATTTAATACCCACCGAAAGGAGATAATATAACCAAACGTACGCAAGAAAAATAAATCATAACTTATTTCGTATGTTCAATTTCTTATATCTTTTCTGATTAGTTAATAAGCTGTTAGTCTACTTCATGACCTGTCTATTCTTGCCACGCAACCAATACCACTAATTTTGATGCAATTAAAGCAACAAAAACTGAATAAAAACTTCTTAGTCGCGCTTTTACTGTCTCAAATTAGCCAAGTTTGCTATTTACAAACCGCCAATACTATAAAAATTGGTGGCGTCCCTCATCATGGAGGTACCAAAAGATGGAATTTATTTTCATTTAATTTCAGCCAATCAGAATTGAGTATTCAATACTCTCAAAGAAATCGGGAAAATCTCAAAGAAAGCGAAAAAACCAGGCCCTTTAATGACCAATTAGAAAAAAACTGATTTTTTTTTCAATCATTGAGAAATCCAAGTCCATACTGAAAAAAACTTGAACCGATTTTTAAAAATGAAAAAATAATTGTATAGCTGCAAGATTTATACATCAAAAGTTCTGTTGATAATGATTTAGGTTTTGTGCAAAAGTCATTTAGCCAATAGGAACGTCTAACGATTCTGATTGGTTAAAAGTTTTCTATCATTCGATCTTATCCATCTTGAGAATATTCCCAATAAAAATTTATCACCGTTGAAATATCGTTTCGATATGATCTCAAGTCATAAATACCTTGCAGGTTAGGAAAAATTGTGTTCAAAGGTGGCCAGGCCAGTTGAAAAAGTAAACTCGTTTGAAGAAGACCACACCGAGCACAAAAACTGAAGCAAAAAACTTGCAATAAGTCAGTAGTTACATTTATATTTTCTCTCAAAGTTCGCTCTTCTTCAATTAAAGCACT